GGTGACTTTGGGCCGATCACTGGGAGACTGTCACACCTTCAATATGAAAGACAGCCATGTGACTTTGGGCCAATCACTAGGAGACTGTGAGTTCTAGTCCCACCCATACATTTGCCTTATTGGGCCAATCGCTTCCTCTCAGCCCTAGGAAGCAAACAATGGCAAACCGCTTCCAAAACCTTGCCAGGAAAACTGTAAGGATCTTTCCAGGCAGTCTGACCGGACTCGGCTCTGACTCGAAGGCCCCCAAATACAATCTAAACCCCTCAATTAAAAACGAATCCCCAAATCCGGAGGGCGCGACTGTGGGGGCCTGCTCTTAAAGCTCGAATTGTTCAGCTGGACTGATTAACAGGGTGCTCTTGGTTTGTTCTTCTTCACAGCAAAGGATGATGGGAGCATTGCCGTCGCTCTGGGCTATACGGCTCACCTAGTCTCCATGATTTCCTACTTCTTGCAAGTACCACTCAGGTATCCAATCCTTCACAAGGGCTCCCGATCGGCAATCAAAGATAACATCAATGACAAACTGACCGAGAAAGAAAGAGAGTAAGTATTTTTTTAAAAACTCTTTTGAAGGGTCAGGAGGAGACAGTACGTACTTAATCAAATAATAATATGGTGTTATTGTTTTTTTGTTGCTTAAAGGTATTCCCTTGACTTAATCAAAGGATAATACGGTGTTTTTTTGTTGCTTAAAGGTCGTCCCTTGACAATTTGTATAGTTTCCGTTGCTAAGCAAGGCAGTTGTTAAGTGAACCGTGCAGCCATGAAGCAAATGTGGCTTCCCCCATTGGCTGTGCTTGTTGGAAGCCAGCTGGGAAGATTGCAAGTGGCGATCACTTGATCCCAGGAGGCTGCATCCATTTTAAATAAGTATGTGCTGATGGCCAGGCTCCCAAATGTTGGTCATGTGACAGTGGGAATGCTACGATGGTCATAAGTGTGAGGACTGGTTTTAGTACTGCCGTAGCTTCGAATAGTGCCTAAATGAATAGTTGTAAGTTGTGGACTACCTGCGTATCCCTGTTTTGCAGTTATTCTTAACAACAAAAATGCAAACAATCCATTTTTATGACATAGGGTGCTTTCGGAAAGTATTCAAAACCCCACTTCACCTTTGGCCATTTTGTTAGTATGCTGCAGCCTGATCCTACATTTGTTGAAATTCGTGGTTTTTTCCTCACTAATCTACATTCAGTACCTCCATAACGACAAAGCGAGAACAGAATTTTAGAACTAGAACTGTCCGTAAATTTGTTAAAAAAGAAAACTGAAGTATCACGTAAGTATTCGGACCTTTTGCAGTGACATGTGAAATTTAGCTCCGGAGCCTCCCATTTCTCTTAGTCGTTGCTTATGTCTTTCTTACACCTTGAATGGAGTCGACCTGCGGTAAATTAAATTGACTGGGGACACGATTTGGAAAAGCGCACGCACACCTCTACTGTTTCCATATAGAATCGCTTCTGGACTTCATGCTTGATGTGGAAAAGAATGAAAATTTAACTTTGGGTTTTATAGATTAGACAGGCAGACCTTCATAGAAATGACTTGTTCATACTATTATAGAATAGAATAGAATAGAATAGAATAGAATGGAATAGAATAGAATAGAATTCTTTTATTGGCCAAGTGTGATTGGACACACAAGGAATTTGTCTTGGTGCAAATGCTCTCAGTGTACATAAAAGAAAAGAGACATTTGTCAAGAATGAAAAAGCAAAAAGCTGTGATCTGATGCTTAATGCCTTATTCTACTGCAGGGGTCTCCAAACTTGGCAACTTTTAAGACTTGTGGCCTTCAAGTTCCAGAATTCTGGGACTTGAAGTCCACACATCTTAAAGTTGCCAAGTTCGGGGATCCCTGTTCTACTGCAAAAGAGAGAGTCAGACATCAATGCTTTTTTTCTTTTCCCTACCATTTCTCACTTTTCTTTTTCCTTTCGCCTCCCCCCTCACTGCACTTTTGTTTACTTTTGTATTTTATAATACTTTATAACTTAATTAAAAAAATGTTCAGAGGGAGAGGCACACGCCTTATCTAGAGAAGGAGTCGCCGCTGGCAGTGCATACTGTAGCAAAGCAAACAGCCATGAAGTCAAAGAAACTGCCTGCAGAGCTCAGAGGCAGGATTATTGCAAGGCACAGATCTGGGGAAAGCCACAATGAAGTTTCTGCTGCACTGAAGGTTCCTAAGAGCACAGTGGCCTCCATAGTTCTCAGATGGAAGAAGAAATTGGGCGCAATTAGGACTGTCCCAAGTCGCCAGGTCAAATTGAGTAATCAGGGGGGAAGGGTTTTAGTAAGAGAGGTGATCAGGAACCCAGTGGTCACTGCCTGAGCTCCAGAGATCCTTTGTGGAATAGGAATAGAACAGAATAGAGAACAGAATAGAGAACAGAATGCAGAATATAGGATAGAATAGAGAACAGAGTAGAATACAGAATAGAATGGAGAATATAGAATAAAACATAAAAAAGAGTATAGAATAGAACAGAATAGAGGGTAGAATAGAGAACAGAATACAGAATAGAATGGAGAATATAGGATAGAATATAAAAAAGAATATAGAATAGAACAGAATAGAGGGTAGAATAGAGAACAGAATACAGAATAGAATAGAGAATATAGGATAGAATATAAAAAAGAATATAGAATAGAACAGAATA